GAGAAAGAAGAGTCAGATTGTACGAGAGGTTGGTACATTCAGGCAGGTCCAACAGCTGTGTTCAGAGCCTGGCTTGACAGATCTTTTCTTGAAGGGATATTGCTAATCTTCCCGTATTCTGCATTTTTTTTTTAAAGTCTAATTAGGTAACTTCCGCCAAGATGGAGGCATAGGTGGCTATGCCGTGCCTTCTCACACAACCAAGTTTAGAGACAACTAAATATTAGCAACAGAACACAGAAAATTGAACTTTTCGGAAGTCTGTTAACAACAAATTCTTCAGTCTGACCAGTAAGGGGCGAAACCAGCAGCTGGTGGAGCGGGGTTGCACAGGAAAACTCGGTCAGATGGACTCAGGCGCACGGAATCCAGGCGCAGGAAAAAGTCTAATTAGGTAAAGACTGTCCTCTCAATTTGAGGTGAAATCAAAGGTGATTTTCATTAAAAGTGCTGTGCTACACAAGTACCCAAGTACAGCACAGTGTGCCCGGTCCAGCAGTCAGCCCGGGTGGGCCAGTTCCGCATCGGGAACATGAGAGCTGACTGCCCCAGCAAGCCCTCGGAGCTTGGGGATGAGAAGGGTCACACGCTAAACCTGACAAGCTCCGGGGAGGCCACGTGGAAGGCCGTAGGAATTCAGAGACCGAAAGTAAACACAGAGGAGGGACTGGCCAGGAACATTCCTAATGAAAAGCAGATCAAGATTATGGCGGGTGTTCACATCCCAGGCCTCTAGCTTCTTTGACAAAGGTCGATATTTACCTAAAGCAAGTCTACAGTCTTTGTGCATCTAAGATAGCATACATTCGGCATGGCAGCTCCTTTTCCAGACCCTCAGACGACACCCACGCACTGGAGCACCAGATCACAGAGCCCCTCACTGTTACCTTGTTCTCCGAATGCCACGTCTGGGTGTTGTCAGTGTTCGTTGTTGACTATCTGTGCCCGCCAGTGTAAAAGAAGCACGTATCTGTCTGTTTTATCCAAGCCCAGAGATTTCTCTGCTTTGCTTTTTCCTGCCTCCCTAATCTACCACCAACGGATTTCCTGTAACTCTCCTTTCCTTACGTCTCCTCCTTTTATTCTAATGTATACAATAAGCTCTACAACTGCCACTTCTGAAGCATTTCCTCAATTTATTGAGATTTTGCTTCCCAATAATTATCTGTTTGGCTCAAATAAACCATAAAAATTCTCTACAGGTTTAGATGTTTCCAAACCTTCGTGCACAAGCTTTAAGACTAAATCTTGACTATTGTGAACCCCAGAAGCCAGCATGCAAAGCTGGTCAGACTCATGAGTTGAAAACTGTGCTGAAATGCACTCTGTTCAAGTGTAACGTGGTGAGGAAGAATCAAAACAAACTGTGCTGTTCTAAGAATTCTTCTCCACTCAACGTATTTGAGATGCAGCCCACGTTTTGTCAATAATAGCAAATGCAACGTGTGCTGGCTGGCTTCAGGAGTTTGGGGTTAAAATGTCATCGGCAGCCCCAGGAGCGCAGTTGCGCCTGTGAAACACGATAGAGATGGCGCCTGTCATGCCGAACGGCAGGTAAATGAAATGCATGCTCCTTTGTTTCCCTGATGTTTCTGTAGGACAACTCTGGGGAAAAGTCAATGCTCCTGTAAAATTATTCATGAGCACTCTGTGTGCTCCCGATCAGCCAACACGCCCAGGACAAAGGGAAGAACAGTCTTTTTTTCCTTAGCAAAATGACTCATTGACTGCTTCCTTCCAGCCTTCCCCTTCTGGTCCCTGGCCCTTGGCAGGCTCCAGACCTTCTGACAAAGGCAATGGGACAGACCCTTCTCCTGCGTTTCCCGGGAACTGGGCTTCTGTTCATTCACGAAGTGCAAGTGAAGGCATTGAGAATCAGGGGCAGAACACAAGCAGAAAAGCGCAGAAACGTAATTGGCCTTCCTCCTCTCACAGGCTCAGTGGGCTAAGAGAGGGAAGAAAGTCACGCCAGGGGGAGCCCAAGGTACCACCTTCTAAAGTCCTGTCGGGCAATAGATTGCAGACGCTAGCATCTTTGTAACTTGCTGGGGGGGGAAATAAAACTACTCCACAGAACAAAACAAAACAAAACAAAAAACTCTCTCACACAAACACTGATGACTCTGTTTGGATACGTCAGAGGTCCTCCAGAAAGATAATTTATGCTCTGATGAAGGCCATCCTGGGACATGAACCATACATGAGGCTCGGATGCTCCCGAGTTTCTCACTGCACTTTCTGGATCAAGTTTGTACCCTCCAAAGCCCAAATGTGCCCTTTACAGGGTGGGAATTCCAAGGACTTGGCTTTCAAAGGCGTATCCTTAAGACTTCGCTCTCAGGCCAGCACCCTGAATGGAATTAAACTACCCAGTGAAATGAATCCACAGGATAAAAATAGCATTTGAATCTATCCCAATGATATCTGCTCCCTTCAAAGTCAACCACAGCAGTTAGAACCTGTGCGTGGGACTCAACTCAAGAAGTAAAAAAATAAGTTCTCAGAAATGAACCACAGATATCAAGAACTGAAATAAAACTTCTTAAGATGTGGGGAGACCCTGCTTCACCAGAAACCTCATCAAGTTAGTGTCCGTCCCTCATATTTCGAGACCCGTGGAGCAGGCAGACGCAGAGACGGTCCCATCCTACACAGGAAGGCAGGTTGCTGTCTCAGCAATGTGATGCGGTGCCCAAGGAAGCCTCTGAGTATTCGAGAGAAAGAATTTAGGCCTCCCTGCTTTTCCTTGCTGCTGTGGCCCAAATGTGTGCGTCCCTTCAACCTCTGCCCCAAATTCGCATGTTAAAATTCAACCCCCCAAAGATGCCGGCATTAGGTGGTGGGCGTCTGAGAGGTGCTTAGGTCATGAGGGAGGAGCCCTCATAATTCGCATTAGTACCCCTATAAAAGAGGCTCCAGAGAAATCCCTGGCCCCATCTGCCATGTGAGGACACAGCAAGAGAGAATTGCTGTCACCAGATACCAAATCAAGGCTGGCCCCTTGATCTTAGACTTTTAGCCTCCAGAGCTGTGAGAAACAGATTTCTGTTGTTTACAAGCCGCCCAGTCTGCAGGATTTTCTGACAGCAGCCGGAATGGGCTAGGATTCCCACTCTGCCCCATCTTTGTGAGTTAGAGCTGCGGGAGCAGCAGAGGGTCGGAGCAGCCACGCTGCCTGCCGTGGTGCTCTAAGAATGCAAGTCTCTCCCGTGGAGACGGTGCAGCCCAGGGTTTGAACACGTGTCAGAGGTCTGGCCTCACTACCCGTTCGTGGTCTGGTTATTAAGCCTTTCTAAGACACAGTTACTCATCTGAATGCCACAAATAATGTTATTGTTATATAATAATACTGCTGGGAGGATTCAGGGAGAAAAGTAGGTAAAGTGCTGAGCCTGTAACCAGTGCTCAGTTTAGCTGCCACCACCACTGTTATTATGATTATATTTGATTATACAACAATTATTATTTTAATTTACAACAGAAGTCCCTGTCTAATAGTTCTTAAAAATTAAATATGGGGAAGGCTCTCTGAGCAGAGATGGATGGATAAGCCATGGATAAGCCATGCAGAGGAGAACAGAAATGAGTTCAGGGCCCAGAGTCAGACACCAGCACCAGAAAGGACTCTGGCCTCCCTTCACCACCAGAGATTGTATCAGCAGCCACTGCCAATGGTGGTGCTGGGCAGAACGCTGACAGCGGGGAAATTCCACGGGAGATCCTCCGGTGGAACAACGTACCTGGGAAGAAAGCTCACGGCACAGGCTGGCTCCCCTGGGGCAGGCAGCTCCCCACCCTCAGATTGAGCGGAGATTCCTGACTACCTTCAAGAGGATGAGGTCCTCTGCCGGGCACACAGCCCTGCCCCAGCTCCGGGCCCCCTTCTCCACCCCACAGCTGGGGCCTGGCCACCCGAGGCTTCAGGGCTCTGCGCTGAGAATGAACTAGAAGGCATTTCTGTAGAGGGCCTGTCTTCCTCCTTCGCGGTCCCACATCTTTCGGGCATCGTCGGCCAGTCCTGCGACAATCCTCACTGGCCTCCCTCCTCTCTTTCTTTGTTGACTCTTGGGGTATTTACAAGGATTCACTGCTGTTAAAGCTCCCTTACACTTTGACAATGATGTTAATTCTGTCGTGAGCTCACAAAAGGAATAGCACTTAGCAAAGCTAATAAAGAAGAAGTTTTAGTCAGGAAGTTCTTTATGTCAACTTTCACATTTCTCTGTAAGAGCGATTTTTTTCTCAAAAGAGCCACACTTGCATCTCAAGAGGAAGTAAAGAGTATCCATGTCAACTAAGTTATAATGTGACTTAAAGAGGAGGAGGAGGATGGTGGCAACAGGGAAAACAGAAAAATGTAAGAATAACAAAGGTCGGACACACACCATTACATTTCCCACCTCACCCGACCTTCCTCTGTGCGACCGAAGTTGCACCTGCTGCTCCTTGGGCTCAAGTCCTTCCGGTGAATGGTGTGATATGACCAAAGGATTGTGCGTCGTGAAAGGAATAAAATCATATTTGGGAGGAAGCTCCAAATGAGAAATATCATCAAGTCAAGACTGGTGAGCTGCCATTTTATCTAACTGATTATTATCACAGCACTTTAGGGCAACAGTTACTGACACCCGTCTGTTGAGGCACGAATTTTAAAAATGGAGTGAATCACTTCCAACAGTGAAACAGAAAAAAAAAGGAGAGCGACAATGCGTTCAGCACCTTGCAGGGTTTGGCTGTAACAGGCCCTTAGCAAACCCCAGCCGCGCAAACTCATGCAGTCTCTTCCCAGCCTCTCAAAAGCCTATTTTAGACACCACATGGGGACAAAGCTGCAGGCCAAGTCGACCACTGCGTTATTCATTCAGCCTCATGGGCACTCAAGCCTTATGTGAATTAAATTCCCATTTCCATATCATGAGAAATGGAAGGCTGGACTGAGCCAGGAGAGTGAGCAGGCAGGTTATGAATTTTGGGGGGACTTACAAGCAGCCAGAACTCACCTGTAGATGATGCCTTTCTCGTGCAGGAACATGAGCGCCGAAATGATTTCTGCAGCATAGAAGCGAGCTCGTGCTTCATCGAAGCGACGGGACTTCTGAATGTGGAACATCAAGTCGCCCCCATTCACAAACTCCATCACAAAAAACAGACGATCCTGGATACAAGCACAAGAAAAGGTCCAGTCAACACTGGGTTACCTCGGGCTCTAGCAGGGGGAAAAGAGGTTGTCAGATGGAGCTACACGTCCTGACAGGGGTCTGGGAAAGCAGGATGGGTCTGGTGGGACTAGATCCCTGGAAGGAATAGGGAGTGCTGCCTGAATCACATGTAATTTCTACATTAAGTAAGAAGTAGAGAAGGCGTCAGGTGCCTTTGGTTCCAGTTCTAGCTCTGCACCTCAACTGACATGTAACCGTGAACTTGATTTCTCTGGACCTCCAACATTAGTAAAGTGAGAACACTGATGCTATTTCTACTCAAACCGCAGGGTTTTATAAGCTGGAAGATGGCAAAATAATTGGGAAGGTGCATGCCTTTTGCCTGGACCATGCAGGTTAATCACAGGAAGTGAGGGACATCTAACAGTGCCTTAGCCATCACACCTGGACCGAGAACAATCGCAGAAAAAGGAAGATGCTTTAGTCAGCCAAACAGCAGTCTCATAAATACAGCCTCAGGGTTGCCCCAGGGTTCGAAGTCCCATTTGGCCCATCAGAAGATTTCCTGAGCCAGGAGTGGGAATGTAAAGACAACGAGGTGCCGTCTCTACTGGAAGGAACTTTCAACGTAGCAGATGAAATGGGCTCTTTAAAAAGTAATTGATACTGCCCTGGCCAGTGTGGCTCAGTTGGTTGGGCACTGTCCTGCAAACTGAAAGGTCATCGGTTCAATTCCCAGTCAGGGCACGTGCCTGGGTTTTGGGCTCTGTGCTCTGCCCCTGTTGGGGTGCATGCAGAAGGCAGAAGGTAACTGGTCAATGTTTCTTTCCCTCTCTTTCTCCCTCTCTTCCCCGCTCTCTAAAATGAAATAAAATAATAGATATGAAGAAAGTGGCACTTTAAAAAGTGATTGATAGCCTTGGCTGATGTGGTTCAGTGGACTGAGCGCCAGCCTGAGAATGGAAAGGTCACTGGTTCGATTCCTAGTCAGGGTACTTGCCTGGGTTTCGGGCAAACAAGATGCAACCAATCAATGTTTCTCTCACACACTGATGTTTTTTTCCCTTCCTCCTCCTCTCTCTGAAAACAAATAAATAAAATCTTTAACACAAAAAGTGATTGATACAGTGTACTAAGTTACTGTGCATGTGGTATGAATAAAGTGCTGTGCAAATTACGACTGCTTGATGAAATAAATGTTTTAAGTCTCAATTAAAAAGCAGCATCCCCAAGACTGACAGTGTCCAGTGCTTTGTTTGTTCCACTAACATTTATGAGTCCCAGGTTAGCCAGGTGTTAAATGAGGTGGTGGGAACCCAGCAGAGTAAAGAGGCATAAAACAGACACAGCCTCTACCCATATACCCAGTGTGGTGTGAGAGACACACATTACTTAAAAAAAAATCATATAAAGAAGCTGCTTTACGAATTCTGGTAAATCCCATGAAGGAACTGCGGAGGAAGCTAGGAGATCCAGCCACGTACTTGGGGGTTCGGGGAGGCGTCTCCGAACAAGCGCCTGTCAGTTAAGCCCTGAAGGATGAGTGCAGCTGGGGCTGGAGGTCAGGCTTTGAGGTGGGAGGGAGGGTGAAAGGTTACTTGTAAGAAAACTGGAACTTCACCCATTCACAGAGCGGGGTATACAAAGAACCATCTTTATCTGGTTTTACGTGCCACTAGCTTTGCTCTGTTACAGCTGAGCTGTAAACAAAGATTGCGTGTGTTCTCGCTCACAGATCCGTCACTAGTTTAATCAGGCAGATCTTGATCAGAAGACACTACAACCGATCACCTCGCAGTCCTGATTTTAAGACCTTAATTAGAAAGGAAAAAAAAAATCCCTCGTATCTAGGAAACGTCCTTCTCTGTTAAGCAGCAGCAAGAATTTAAGAGTGAGGGGGAGTGACAAGATCCACAGCCACAAAAAGAAAACCAAACAACACGACAACTTTCAAGGTTGGCCAGGCTGGCGGAGCCAACAGAAAGCTAAAAACAGCAAGCTGTCTGCCTAAGCTAACAGCCTTCATTTGATGGGACTGACAAGAGGGGAAGCAGCGTTGGGGGTCAAGCGTGGGTGAGCAACGGTGCTCCATATTTGCTACGGGAAGGACTCAGGTGGACTGAGCGGGTGAGCAGTGGGGAGGAGGGTAGTATGTGGCTGGGATGGTCTAAGAGCTGCATCCGCACAGGCAGCCATTACGCTGACGATGTTGTGCTCATCTGGAGGGGGCAGTAGGGGCGAGGGGGTGGCTGCAAAGACGACCCAGGCGGTACGGCCGCCCTGAACCACCCCACAGGCAAGAAGGTCAGCCTCACACGTGTTTGTTGCCCAGCCTGTTCACTCTCTTCCCGCCTGTGGCTGGTAGTCACGTGAATTCCAATAGTCTGAAACACCTGACAACCGGAACGGGGTCCCTAGGTGAGTGGGTATCCCGGGAGTCGGTGGACTTGCCTAAAGTTGCCAAGGCAGTGGGAGTCAAAAAGATGCGGGCATTCCAAGGGAAATTCCATCTACTTCTAGTTCCCCCCAAAACATTATCCTGTCTCAAGTCTGAAAAGCCAGACCCAGGGCTAAACTCCAGATCTGGGGAGAGGAAATACTAACTTCTAATCCCGCTCATTCTTCTGGCCGAGCCCTAGAGGCGGATCCTCAGATAATGGGGGAGAGAGGCCAGTGGGGGAGGCGTGTGCACCTATGAACACAGCAGAGGCCACATGCTTTAGAACTGAAGATAGGGAACCTTGTCATTCAGTCTCATTTCCAGCCTCCTGTCTGGAGCCACCTAGAACAGTGGGTGTGACTCGCAGCCCTCAGGCTGCACAGAACAAACAAGCAGGACGTAGAAACTAGTCAGCTGAGATATAATATTGAACCAAAAGCTATGGTCCATCCTACCAAAGACCTAAAATAATGTCACAAGGCAGAAAAATGAAAACATGTTTACCACCTGGCCAAACGTTCTCTGCTGTGCGAAAACACTCCATTTACATGCACGCGTCTTATTGAAAATATCTGCTGAAGTGGTTAAAATTGGCCATTACTCTGACATTTCTTTTGCAGAGGAGATAAATGACAAAAATCTCCCACTTTTTGCAAAGAAGACCCCACTCATCATGCAATGGTGGCAACGGTGTTGAGTAAGGTGAGGGGCCATTATCAGAGAAAGAATTTCATTAAACATGTCCACTGGGGAAGCTTCTAGAAAGTGTGTGACTAAACAGTAGTGGCTGCTGGTGACTGTGAGGAGGAAGATGCATTCAGTTAAAAATAAAAAGAGGCCATAAATGTGAATGTTGTCAGTTAAGGCCAAAGATGCAGATAGTCACAGAAAGGACAAAAAGCTACTTAGTGACAGAAGTTAGCTTTTGGTTTGGGGTCTGGGATGACATTTATTTCTTCTTTATTCTTTTTAGTATCTCTGAAGGTTTCTAGGCTGAGTGTGATTTACTTTTATAATTAGAAACACACTGAAATCACATGGACTTCCTCCACATTTAAAAAAATTTCATCTGGAAGATAAATACTGGGAGATCAAAAAGGTACAGTTTGAGCCGTTGTTAGGTAGGGGGCGGAGGGCAGTGGCTCCAGAAAGAGGGGCCTTCATGTCCCTGGCTGCCCACTATTAAGAGCTGCTGCTAACCACCTTCTCCCTCAGTGGCCTTTCTGATGCCTGAAGTTACCAGGCCGTCAGGCTTGTTGGAAAGGCATCCAGAATGAGACTGAACTGGCTGTGGCTTGTTCCGGGCGCTCCACTGGGAACACAGGGTCTGGGTTCTGGTCTGTGGGCTGGGGCTTTCCGAGAGCTTTGATGCTTCCTCTCAGGTTCTCAACAAGAAGGGATGTTTCCTAAGCACGCGCTGTGCCTGGCCCTGGGTGGGGACCGAGTGTTGTAAAAATGAATGGAATCCCACGCTTGTGCCCAGGAAGCTTGGAGACATGTGGACAGAGCACACCACCCACAGCGTGCAGAGTGCCGTGGAGGGGCACAAGGGGGTCATGGGGACCCACAGTGGGGGCCTCTGAGCAGCCGGGGAGTGGGATTTGGGGAAGGCTGCTAAGAGGAGCCAATGATCCAGCTGGAAGGATGAGGGAGCACAGTCAGGCTGGAGTGGGGATGGAAGGAGGAGCGATCAAGGTGAATAAGCAGGTGAAGTGTCAGGTGTGAGGCAGGATGTAGTGACTACACAAGGTAATGTCCCCAAGGGCTGAGGCTGCCGAGTGTGGGGCACCCCTGGAACACAGGCTGCTGCTTTCATAACCGAGTGTCGGTAGAAAAAAAAGTAGAAGGCGAGCTGGGTGCTTCCTTTCACCCCACCCGCAGGTCGCCCACGGACGAGCACTGCAGGACTCAGTCCTATTAATACACACGGCTGGTCTCTACCATAATTACAGGCCCAGCGCTGGAGCTCAAACAGGTGGCAGCTACGAGGCTCGGCTTGAGAAAGGCTCCAGGAAGTGTTGGAACGTGCCGCTCACCACATGTAATGAGGCAACATCAGCTACAAAAACAAGTCACTCCGGCTAAGGGTGACTCCTCGGCACGAATTCCATCGGCCTGAAGGAAACCTTTCACGTGTGGCGACAGCCCTTTATAAAGCCCAGGCCCGTTTCTGAAGTTGTGAAAGGAGGCGGAAGACAGCCTCTGCCTGCGGCTGCACTGTGGGTCTGTGCCTGTTCAAGAACCGGTTCCACCGATTACTTGACTAACACTAGGTCACACTTCACAGACACGACTGTGAGACAACTAGAGGAAGCATTTCTGGGATCCCTGCACATGGGGCCAGGGCAGGATGGATCAAGGTTGTCCTGAGTCACTTCTGGGGCAGGGAAGAAGTGACTCATGGGATGAAGTGACTCCAAATCCCACCCTGGGCAGCGATAGCAAAGATGGCCCCTCCTACATCGAAGTCTGTGTAGGAAGCTAAGCTTCTACGGACAGCCATTCCAGTATTTCTCAAACCCAATCTCCTAGAACAAGGGTTCAAACTCATTTTCA